AGGGAGTCTTTATAGACGAGCTGAAGGGAGTCTTTATAGACGAGCTGAAGGGAGTCTTTATAGAGGAGCTGAAGGGAATCTTTATAGACGAGCTGAAGGGAGTCTTTATAGACGAGCTGAAGGGAGTCTTTATAGACGAGCTGAAGGGAGTCTTTATAGACGAGCTGAAGGGAGTCTTTATAGACGAGCTGAAGGGAGTCTTTATAGACGAGCTGAAGGGAGTCTTTATAGACGAGCTGAAGGGAGTCTTTATAGACGAGCTGAAGGGAGTCTTTATAGACGAGCTGAAGGGAGTCTTTATAGACGAGCTGAAGGGAGTCTTTATAGACGAGCTGAAGGGAGTCTTTTGTAGACGAGCTAAAGGGAGTCTTTTGTAGACAAGCTGAAGGGAGCCTTTATAGAGAAACAAGGAGTCTCTTTATAGATGAACTGAATCAGGGAGACTTTACAGACGCAACAAATTATGAAAGGTTTCTTTATAGACGACCTATAAGTAGTCTTTATAGTTCTGCCCTCCAGCTCGTCTATGAGGGAGTCATTATAGGTGACCTGAAGCAGAGAGTTATATATGGAATTACTGAAGCTGGGATTTGATTACAGTAGTACTAAATCAGCAAATATTTTTATAGACGAGCTAAAGTAAGGTCTGGGAGTCTTTATATAGACAAACTAAAGGGTGTCTTTATACCGATAAGCTGAAGTGCCAGCGTCCCTTTATACAGACGAGTTTAAACCTGGAGTATTTATAGCGCTGAAGCAGGAAGACGATCTCAAAAACATGAAGTTTTGTTTTCTTTTTATAAACGGGAGAGTTAATGAATCAGGAGTCTTCATGGAACTGGTAAAGATAAATCCTTTTTGGTTGATCTGAATGGCCCTTAAATACGATTTGATTCTGCACGTCTTCATACAAAAGGATTCGCCATAGAAGAACTAAATAATTCTCGATACAGATTTTTAGTACGATAGACATTTAGATGGGTCTGTCTGGATCTTCAGAAGGATTTCTTATAGAATGTACTATCAGATGGGTCTTTTATTTGGGAATAATTCATGAAAGGAATATTATTTGGCCTCATTGAAAATAAGATCTAGGAATGGACCTATTATAGCATAGAAGAGATCGTTTATAAAAAACAAGATTTCCAAAAAAAAAAAAAAAAATGGAGCGGGTTAGTTATACAGTGTACGATTTCCACAATGACATATTATATAGAGGATTTTTTTAAAGAAAACTTCCGAATGGGAATTTTTGTGAAATAGAAGACCTCCGGATGGACTTTCTGCAGAAGTTAAGGGGACCCCCCCCCCCCCCAATTCTCGGTTTCAAAAAATTGAATTTTGATTTAATTCGAATCTACACTAATTCAAGAAATTTCAAGTGAGAGTCTCAACAACTCTTGAAGATATAGGAGGTTTCCCTGTGATTGTAAAGCTTTCGTATGAAGATCTCCTTTATTTTTTAACTTGGTTTGTGATAAAAAATAGGCGGTTCTCCAAAAATATTTTTTCAAAAGTCCGCCATTTTGTTGATAAAATGGAAAGAACTTCTATAGAATGGAAAGGTCTTTCAAAGAATTGAAGAGTCTTCTACAGATTAAAAACGCTTTCTATAGAATAGAACAATTGTCTGTAGAAAGGAAAGGTTTTCTATTCTGAACAAAAGACCTCACGAAGGGTCTTCTATGGAATACTGAACCTATGGGTAGGTCTGCTATTGCATAGAAGAAATCGAGATGCGCTATCTGCCAAAGAAAAAACCTTCTGATAAAATCGAAATTTTTTTATGGGCTTCCGAGAGCTTTTTTGTGGAATAGAATTTCTGCGATGGGGAAACTTCTGTAACATATTGAACATTTCCTATTTTCATAATGTGAGTATATACACTTCGACCTCACGAAAAATGCGCCTCTTTATAATAAAAGGTCAAATTTTCCCACAATAGGTCCACATCCACACGTGTGTACATATGATATGAAGTGAATGAAGTATTCTGTTTGATATAAACTTTCTTTATAGTTATATTTTTATCACATCATAGAAATTATGACAGGAAATTTAGTATTTCTTCCACTTCTTTTGATAGCCTTCGCACCGAAACATAAATTATCGAGCCATTTGTGCCGTATTTAAAAATGTTAGTAAACTCCCACATCCGAGAGTACATAGCAATTAAAAGGTCAGAGAATCCTCTTGGCGATAGGTCAAGTTTGTTTTTGTCAGGCTTTCCGTTGTAATCACTCTAACGTCTAAACGAATTGAGATAGATTGCCAAAATTTTGCATAGAGTCGTCTTTTGCCTGCAAGCAGGTCAAGTTCGAAGATGGTCTTCATCGGTCTACGTTTAGGCATAGCTCCCATATAAGGGTACCCCCAATTTTCGGTATTTTGGGGTTCTTGAGCGCGTTTCTCAACCGAATTCGCTGAAATTTGCTACATTGGGTTCTTATAGGGTACTAAATGTCTCCACAAAAAAGTTTAAATATAGGTCCACTTTTTCTGGTAGCCCCCATATAACGGTACCTCCTAATTTTCAGTATTTTGGGGGTTTTGATCGTATTTTTCCGCCAAAATGTCTGTAGTTTAATATTTCGAGTTCTTAATAAGTTCCAAATCTCTCCACAAAAAATTATGGATATAGGTCAATTTTTTCGGGTAGCCCCCATATAAGGGTACCCCCAATTTTCGGTAATTTGGGGTTCTTGAGCGCGTTTTTCAACAGAATTTGTTGCAATTTGGTATTTTGTAGTCGTATAGGGTAACAAATCTCCCTACCAAAAATTATTAATATTCGCTCCCTTTTTGGGGTAGTCCCCATATAACCCCCTTTTTATATTAAAATAGTTATTTGATTTGTTCCGCGTTTTGTGTTTGGTTCTAAGTCTCGGTTGTAATCATTTCACCTGCAGAGGATAGCGAGATAAAATATTAGAACGTAAGGTTCGATAATGAACTATAGCCGCGGTTAAGCCTAGGCCCCTAGTGGAGGGTCAAGAAGGAGTGGACCGATATTCACCATCTTCGAATTTGAACTAGGTTTGGAAGAAATAATAAGATGGGCAAAGTTTGGATGAAGTCTTAATTTTCTCAAACGGATTTGGTCCAAAGAAACCAATATTTCGATGAGGCACATTTTCACCGTGTTAAAGTGTATACACCCTCATTCGCCACAAGGCTGGGGGTATAATTATCCATTAAAAATTTCTGAAATTTGTATTATGATTTACATTATGGATTACATAATCCGTTTTTAGAAATGTCGGTATATGTACACTTTTTGGTATGTTCCCTATATTTTCATTTCTATTACCTGTCAGTATATCTATGGTGGAGGGTATCCAAAGTTCGGCCCGGCCGAACTTAACGCTTTTTTACTTGTTAGTTATAGCGATATGCTGTCAGTCAAGTCAAATCGAATGAGGAATATTTTTGTAAAACAAATCTTTGTTCTATTTCTAGTAATGGTGCATCCTTTTTGGTCTTTATTTTCTTGAACCTGAATATAAATACCTCCAAATGTTCTATAAAAATATCGCTTATAAGATTTTAGATATGGTCCCAAAGACAAGAAATCAATACTGGCATGTTTACGTCGCCATTTTCCTATTTTTACACGAGGGGAGACTTTACAGATGAACTGAAGGCGTCTTTATAGACGAGCTGAAGGGAGTCTTTATAGGCGAGCTGAAGGTAGTCTTTATAGACGAGCTGAAGGGAGCTTTTATAGAGAAACAATAAGTCTCTTTATAGAATTGAATCAGGGAGACTTTACAGACGCAAAAAAATTATGAAAGGTCTTTATAGACGACCTATAAGTAGTCTTTATAGTTCCTCCCTCCAGCTCGTCTATGAGGGAGTCATTATAGGTGACCTGAAGCAGAGAGTTATATATAGAATTACTGAAGCTGGGATTTGTTTACAGTAGCACAAAATCAGAAAATATTTTTATAGACGAGGTAAAGTAAGGTCTGGGAGTCTTTATATAGACAAACTAAAGGGTGTCTTTATGCAGATGAGCTGAAGTGCCAGCGTCCATTTATACCGACGAGCTTAAACCTGGTCTTTATTTTCCTGAATTTGAATATAAATACCTTCAAATGTTCTATAAAAATATCGCTTTTAAGATTTTAGATATAGTCCCAAAGACAAGATATCATTACTGGCATGTTTACGTCGCTATTTTCCTATTTTTACCCGATCCTTGCTCAGAAAACCTTATACATTTTGCAGAACTCCAACATAGGTCTGAAAAGTACGATTTTTTCCTTTTGGCTTCTTAATATACTCGACCAGGTCTTTCGTCTAAATAAGAAATTTTCCAACCTCTTAAAATATTGTTGCACAGTGTTTATTTCTCATGTAGGAAATAACAAAAATAAAAACAATCAAATTAACATTTTATTTAATTCTCATAGATATATAACCTTAAAAAACACAATAATAATAACTCAATGCAATCAAATAATATATTTTATGATTATTATCCACTATAAAATCCTCCCATTTCATTTGTGTAATGGTTCCAATTTTTTATTCAATATTTATTTGACTAAAAAAAGAAAAAAACAAACAAAACTTTCCAATCCTTTTTTGCCTTCCATAAATTGTAACGAAGTACGAATATGTGTTAAATCTTTGGGGATATGTTCCATATTCAAAGTATTTATTTATGCACTTTGTATATATGTAAACTGGGTATACTATATATGTAAATACAAATACATACATTTAAGTACGAACGTATGTTAGCCTTTAGTGTCCCAAAAAGGAATTTACCCGACAACAAAAGAACACTTTATTGTAATAAACAGGGCAAATGAACTTGACTCGATTCGAAAAGAAGAGATTGTGTAGTGTGTTATACAACACCGTTTTTAACATTTTAAAATACTGGGTCTTCTGTATCAACAGCAAAAGCGTAGTAGTAACATGCTATAAATATGTTTTGGTATTCTTTGTATTTTTTTTTTTTTAATCTTTGTATTTTTTCTGTTACTTACCCATGTCTCCTTGTTACTGTCCGGTTCGACAAATATCAAATGTGTTGCTGTTAAATACAATGTTCCGACAATGGGATTTTTCGTATTGTAACGATCAATCATACGGACATTTTCAACCTGTAAAATACAAGAAAAACAACAAAAACGTGAAATGAAAAATCAATAAAATTCCATTAAAAAGGAGGTGTTGAATGACAGATATGGGAATAAAGAATATTTATGTATGTCCATACATATGTATGTATTTTTATGGTCTTAACATGTAAAAAGGGAATATAATCGGTTCGTTCGTTGAACAAATATCCATATCAGATTTAAGGGAACCTCCCCCATTGTCGATTATAAATTTTCAAGATCTTCATTGGACTGGTAAATGAATACCAATGCATGTTAAGGTTTGTAACTTTACACATATATAATTGAAGATTTAAAAGAGAAGAAAAATAATTTGCAAACTTTGGTTGTTGTTGTGGGCATGATAACTCCTCACTGGAACATCGGAATCCGGAAATTCCAACGGTGTTAGAAAGAGTACATGTCTGGATCTCGTATGAACTAGGTTTATTGACTTCGCTCAAAATTAACGAAATGGCGGACCTTTGATTTTTGTTTTAATTCGCCTATACGATAGCTATACATATGTGTGAAAATAAATTCGAATTTGTTTAGCGAAGACGCAAACCACGTTAGGTGTTGCTGCCAGTATAACGGTATTGATATACAGTATAACAGAATTAAATTCGTATTTAGAACACATAAATGCCATAAAAATACTAATTTATTCACACACATATATATATATATATAGGGGAGAGGGGGGCACCTTTGAACGTGGGGCACCTTTGAACAGCGCTCATAAAATCTTGGTTTAATATTTTTCCGACCTGCAACCACATTTTTGTATATGGCAATCTTGTTCTCTATATGCGTAAACCACTTTGGCTTGGTTTTTCAGTTGTTGAAAATTTGTGCATGGGTGACCATGTTTTCTCAGTGTGATTTAAACTTTTATTCATTTGGTTGTAAGGGCGCAGGAAGAATTATGTGATAGTTTTCTTTCGTCAAACAAATTTTTTGCATTCCAACAATCATTTCAAACATAACTTATGTATTTTCTTTCATATATATTTATTACAAAAAAAGTTATTTTAAATTTCCGTAAAATGCCATGGGTGGGGCACCTTTGAACATGCCCATTAAACTCGAGTAAAAACAGAAGTTTTTAACTTTTGGCTTCGATTTCTCAAAATTTCAAATCGGTTAATAAGATTACGAAATTAACTGTATTTTTCACCATATTAATTTTTGTTTTTAAGTAATTTTATGTTTTAATAACTTTTGATCTAAATTTTTAAAATTTTGAAAATTTTTTATATATTTTTTAATGAATTAATGCATTTCTGATATGTATTAATAAAATACATACATATTTGAACATAAACACTGTAAAAAACCATGTCGTTCAAAAATGTCAAGCCTTGTTTAAAGGTGCCCCCCTGGGGGGGGGCAGTTTTGAACACTTTGAGTTCGTCCATTAAAACAGTAATGACATATATTTATCAAGCTTATAGTATGTCATATCTATATTCATTTTAAAGGTTACATATGTGCCTATTAGTTAAAATTTATTAGAAACTAAAAATTATAAAATAAAAAATTTTATAAGGCTTGAAAGCAAAAAGTGTTGAAAGGTGACCCCCTCTCCCCTATATATTTAACTTGTGTTCATATATGTATGTATGTAACTAATGTACTTTATATAACTTTTTGTTTTGTTAATGCGTTTATGTTTTATTATATTCTAGCATAGGCCCGCTACGTTGTTAGCGGAATTTTTGTATAGTTAAAATAAAAAAGACCCCCTCTCCCCTATATATTTAACTTGTGTTCATATATGTATGTATGTAACTAATGTACTTTAAATAACTTTTTGTTTTGTTAATGCGTTTATGTTTTATTATATACTAGCATAGGCCCGCTACGTTGTTAGCGGAAGTTTTGTATAGTTAAAATAAAAAAACGCCACAAAATATACTTTTTATATTTGAATATTTACCATAAATTAGAACTATTTCAAATAATGATAGGTACTATATCTTATTAAAAAAAATAAGAAATAGGTCTCCGCATTTCTTTCGAACAGATACATTATTCTACTAAATCGAGTACAACATACTTATATTTATATTTTCTGAAAGTGTACTATGATTATTATTACTATTATTATTATTATTTTCTCGATCCTCCCGATGGACCAATGCAAATAGTTAGTTTTTTTAATTTTTTTGGTCCTTTAGGTAATTCAATGTATTACGTTTTAGTAATTGTGTACCCTTATAATACGAGTTTTTAATAAAATATTTTGCACAGCGCATCATTTATTATACAGAGACCTGATTTTATAGGGAAGATTTCCATTAAAATTGCAGAAATTTAGAAATTTATTTACGTGTTACAAAATCCTCATTGGAAAAAATTGTCGGTATTCCTATATATCCTTGACATAAAGATCCCGCCCATTATTCATTACATCGAAAGTATGGTTTAAAACATCATTGGAAATAAATATCAGTACTGTTACGACATAAATTTTAGAAACATTTGCATTTAAAAATGCCAACAATTTAGTACTCGTTGTGTTCAGCGAATTTTTTTGCATCGTTTCACTTATTTGTGTATGAAGCCTCGTCCGTTTTTCACTATATCGGAAGTTTAAACCCAAGTTTAAAGATTAGTACTAAAATTCGGATAACTGTCTCTAACCATTCCTATTTTGTACTTTCTAATACAAATTTTCGAAAATAAAACATAAACAATTTGAGGACTCTGCCTCTAATCGTTCTGTCGTATACAATATTTAGTACAGCGCAAATGTCCAACAATAATGCGAAAAGTTTTTCTTTCATAGAAAAAACCTTATACCAATTTCTATACCCACCCGTACCGCTTTATACAATGTTTTGTACTTTTTAGTACATTTTAGAACTTATTTCTGGAAAATATTTATGTATAAATGATTTTGTCATAATTACAGATAAGTATTTTATTTATAACAGGATCCTATTTGTATCCGTACACAATATTGAGTACTTGCTAGTAACGTGAGTAAAATTTACAAACTTTTTGGCGAAAAACATTTGTTTATAGAGCATGTCGCTCTATTAGTTATAGTCTAATACTAAATTTCAGATATCAATCTCTATCTTTTCCATTATAATTGTATATTTTGTACCATTTTGGTACTAATTTCAAAAATATATTACTGTCTAGCATAGTATTGATAATAGTTAAATCTACGTACCGCGTTTCATATTTTCATTTCTTCCTGTTCTATTATACTACAGTATTTAGTACATTTTAGTACTAATTTCAAAAAAATTATGCGTGACATTCTGTTTGTAATAGAGTAAGCTACATACTAAATTTCAGATTCTTATTTCTACCTGTTGCATTGTATTTTTTTATTTGGTACTTTTTATCACCACTTTAGTACTTATTTCCAAAAATTGAAATGCCTAGCATTCTATTTGTAATAGTTAAATCTATATGCGAAGTTTCACATTTGTATCTCTATCGGTTATATTGGAATATAATATTTACAACTTTTTAGTACATTTTAGTATTAATTTCCAAAAATAAGTTGGCCCATCATTCTGTTTGTAATAGCTTAAGTTACATACCATATTTCAGATATCTATCCCTACCTTTTCCATCGTTGTATAATATTTAGTACTTTTTAGTACCTTTGGTACTAAGTTACAAAATTTGTTCACACATTCTGAATCGCTTATCATGGACAAAGTTGTGTACCAAATTTTACAGTTCTACTTCCAACCCTTTCGGTGTTTTACAGTTTTAGTACTTTTTATTACCATTTTAGTACTGTTTTTCCAAAATATTTTTGCTAATCATTATATTTGTATTAGCTTAAGCTACATACCAAGTTTCAGATATGTATATATACCAATTCCATACCTATATAATATTTAGTACTTTTTAGCACCTTTTAGTACTAAATTCCAACATTTTTTCACACACATTACTTCGCTTATCCTAGGCAAGGCTGTATACCAAATTACAGAGTTCTACATCTAACCGTTCCCGCGTAATACAGTACTTTTTAGTACCATTTTAGTACTAATTTCCAAAAAATATTATTGCACCTCATTATATTTGAAATTGCATAAGCCACATACCAAGTTTCAGATATGCATCTCCATCGATTCCATTCAAATATAATGTTTAGTACTTTTTAGTACTAAATTTAATTACACATTCCTCTGCGCTCTAATAGACAAAGCTGCATACCAAATTTCAGAGTTCTATATCTAACCGTTCCCGCGTAATACAGTTTTTAGTACCTTTTAGTACGAATTTCCAAAAACCCCACTTTATCACACGCCTACGCACCAAACCCGACCTACATGCCAAATAAAAAGTTTCTAGCCTTAGCCGTTTCGTCTGGGCGTTGATGATCAGTCAGTCACTTATAACGCAACTCTTTTATATATATAGATTATTATTATTACATGTGTTTTATATATTTTAAGTTCAAAATTGTACATATAACAAAAAAAGTATACGTAGATCAATAACCGTGGTATATTTGTACCCATCCAAAGATAGCTCTGTAACTCATTAAAAAATTTGACTATCGTGAGGTTTTTTAGTTATTTTTTTATTGGGATCTTATTTAGGTGTTCATCAATCCCTTTGCAAATTTTTGTGGCCCTGGACAACATGAGGCCATCAGGGCGACTCGTGGAAATTAGAAACTACCCTGGTTTTCCTTGTATACAGGGACTAAAACAATTATTATTGCCAATTATTCACATTTTATGAGTTTTGAGATTGTGATTGGCGCATTTTAACCATTATTTAATACTATTAAACGTTATTTAATGATAGATTATATATGTACGCCAATTTAGGATTGTAATAAATCCGACTAATTCGATTATAGAAAAAGTTTCAGTCACAATATGAAGATTAATTGGAAAATTACGGACAATAATCATTGTTTTTGTCCCTGTATACCAAGGAAAAACCAAGGTAGTTTCTGACTTCCACGAGTCGCCCTGATGACCCCATGTTGTCTAGGGCTAGGATTGATGAACACCTAAATAAGATCCCAATCAAAAAATAACTAAAAAAGCTTAACCCATTCGAAAGCTATAACGGATTTACTATGATTGTTTTAGATAGATTATCATTTAAGCATGGATTCAAATATATATTATTTTAATGTATATATAATTTTGAGTTCCTACATCTAGACCAGATCCGTGTAGACTAATTTAAAAGAAAAAACCTCACGATAGTCCAATTTTCTAATGAGTTACAGAGCTAGCTTTGGAAGGGTACAAATGTATCACGGTTATTGATCTACGTAGGTAATAACTTTAAAAAATTGTAAAAATTATATATGGAAAATATTTTTAATGGTTTTCCTCGATTATGTGTGAAAATACATCAAGAATGATTCCTCAAAATTTGATCCAAATATCTCCATTATTAAAAATTTTACAGCATTTTTATTCAAAAAAGTTACAAATGTACCCGGTTATTGACCGTAGGGTTAATTTGATGTCTTAAATTACTTTTTATATAAAGGAAAAAGTCGTTACCCACTGTGCGAAAACGGGTGAGAGTGAGCCACATTTCAATACATCGTTGGAAAGGACATTGAAAGGACTTTCAGAATATGTATCGGGTATGACCCTAAATATATTAGAAATATCCATATACGGATATTTGAAATTTGTTTCGAAATTTCATAAATAATGAGTTCTCTAATCCAGTTTTCAAGTGTTATTCAAAATTGTTCAGTTGTAAAAATAAATAATTTATTCGTTATTCGATAATTCCATTCGAAATTCTGTAAGTTATTATTAGTAATAGGTCCCCCTAAAATCGATAATTTTTATACCCTACACAACTATGTTGTCAGGGTATTATAGCTTTGTGCAGCCCCAAAAGTTTGTAACGCCGCGAAATATTGGTCCTAGTATACCGATCGTCATATCTCGACTAGCTGAGTCGATCTAGACATGTGTGTCCGTCCGTCCGTCTGTCCATTATAATTTGTAAACACGATACAGGCCACAGCTATGAACCAATCTTCACGAAATTTTGCATGTAGGATGGGTTCTGGCCAATGAAGACCCCTATTGTTTTTGGGAAAGATCGGTTAATATTTAGGGGATGAAATGGACAAAAACTTCATTTTGTCTGATTTTCTGGTCGCTCCAGAGGCCGCAATTATGGCCTAAACAACACGAATTTTTGCATGGAGAAGGGGATCGGGCCAAGGAATAAGAATGTCTGTTTTGATAAAGATTGGTCAATATTTAGCGGGTCAAATGGACCCATACTTTTGTGTGAAAAATGGCAATATTTGTATTCTATGGCATATGCATTTACTCCTGAAGGACATAGACCCGAGAAATTGATATTATATCCAATAGGAGTTGTTGGCCATTAAATTGATACCAATTATATTGTCGTATGTGCTCGGATATGAGAGTTACACTTAAATATTTACAGTTGCTTACGTATTCAGATATTATTTAGTAACCCATTACCATACTGTAGAGCGGAAATATAGCGCTGATCGCTTTGAAAATTTCCATGAGGTTCCGGTTATGGTCAAGTACAACGCCTATAATTTGCGGTGATGATCGGATAATAATTTTGGGGTGAAGTGGACCGAAAACTTAATTTCTTTGTGTGTGTGTTTTTCGAGTCGATCTATAGGCCACAATTGAAAGCGGAACATCACAGCACAATCCACGGTGAAAGGAATCTGGGACAAGTAATTAGAAAGACTGTACTGAATATTAGTAATATTTGTTGACTTCTATACAGTCAAGAGGGTGTAAATATTGCGAAATATTGACCAGACTCAGAATATAGAACCACATAAAGTTAGATTTTCTTGGAAGTTGTGTAGGGTATAATATGGTCGGCCCCGTCCGACTATACTGCTCCAAAAAATTCAATATATTTATTTTCCAAAATGCAACAAACCTTTTTCAATACCAAAACATCATTATAAAATATCGGTGGATCCGTAAATTCCTCTTCAATCCATGAGACGACTTTATCGGAGACAAACGGTGGTACTGGTACACCCCAGAGGCGTTTATTTTCTGGCTCCTCAGTTTCCGGTGAGATATTGTCGAAACTTAGCCGCAGTGCGGAAGTTGGCGACAATTGTCGCTCGATTTCATTGAATTTATTCATGAATTTTGTAAAGTCCATATTTGGTGTGGAGAGAGAAGAAAAATACTCTTTTTTTTGTTACGAATTTTAATGTTATTTTTTTTTTCTTTGATGATTTACGACGATGGTGATAATGATATGACAATGTGGTTGTTGTTGCTGCTGACAACAGCCATTTATGACACAAAGAAAATCAGGGTCACGTGAATTATTTTGCGTTTACTTTAGTTTTCTTTGGAAAATCTTTTTGTTACACATCACAGATATAAAAATTATTTTTTTATACCAGCACAAAGACAATCCACCGACATACACACACAATCGTATATATTGAAGATGATATCTTATTCACTTTCACTTTATTAAATCCCAACTCGTTTGAAATTCATACTCTCATGTTGCAAAGGACACGGTCGGTCGGTCGCGTATCAGTGGTATTGTGTGTGTGTGAATGTGAAGATAACAAACAGTCTGACAACAAGGGGAACAATGATGATGGTAGAAGGATGTCTCTAGGTTATGACGTAGCTTTGGCCTTTGGCTGAAGAAATATCCCGCACAAAACTCATACGCTCTCACTCAACTCAAAATTGTGGTATTTTTTGTATTTGTTATAGATGTATAAAAATGAATGCTCGTTCTTCTTTTTTTATAATTTAATCGATTTTGATTTTTTGTTCGGTTTCGTAGTCCTTCCAAAAATAAATTTGAATAGAAGAAGGAAGTTCCCTTTGGTTGGTGGTGGTGTGCTGGTGCTGATGTTGTTAGTATACAAAAACGCTCCGTGCTTAATTTTTTTTAGTTTGACTCGCTTTTTTATTTTATCCGTACACAGTACCACCTTGTCCGAGGTTCAAAACGACACTCAACGTCGAAAGGCATTAGACCATAATGTAGTGTCTTAGGTTGTAGTTACGGGGAGAAAAAAATATTGGGAAATTTTTTGGGAGAATTTTATTTTCTCTTTTCAAATGAGCAACGACAAGTTGAGATGAGTCCTTTGTCAACAATATGAGAATCCTTTTCTTTTTTTTAGGTTCATTCATAAGATTTTGGTTTCTTTCTTGATAAACACAAACAAAAAGGATTGTTTATTGTGGTTTATTTTGGAGGAGATAATTGTCAGAATTACACTCGAAAAAAAATTGTGGTTCAAAGGGGTGATTAAGGAATAAAGAAACACAAACTTAAGGACAACCAGAATATTTTTTAGACATATCAAAAGGCATGGATTTTTCGGAAATGTTTTTTTTTCAAGGAATATCAAAATATGTGGATTTAATAAATTAATGACTTTCAAACACTTAGCGTTTGATAAAATTTATCAAAAGAGGGTTACATTTTTTCCAATTTTTTTGTCAAGGACTTTGAAAAAGCGTGAATTTCTGAAGAATGTTTTTAAAGACTATCAAAAGACGTAGATTTAAAAATATATATATTTTTCTAGGCGTGAATTAAAAAAATATTTTTTGAGGACTTTTAATTGGCGTGAATTTTTAAAAAATATTTTCTATGGCGCGAATTAAAAAAAATGTTAACGACTTTAAAAGTGTGTGAATTTACAAAAAAAGTTCAAGGCTTTCAAAAGGTGTAGATTTTGAAAGAATATTTTCAGAACTTTCAAAACAAATTTTTTACAGAATATGTTTTAAGGACTCCAAAAGACTGGATTTTAAAAATATTTTTTTAGGCATTTATATGGCTTGGACTTTTAAAGAATATTAATGACTTTTTAAAAGGGTAAATTTTTTAAGAATAATTTTTAAGGACATTCAAATGGCTTGGATTTTTAATAAATATTTTTTCAGGGACGACTAATAAAAAAAGACATGGATTAAACAAAAATATCTCCCAAGGACTATCAAATGGCTCCTTTAAAAAATATTTTTTCAAGAATATTCAAACAATTTCAAAATTCGTTGACTTTTAAAAAATACTTTTTCAAAGACTATCAGAAGACGAGGATTTTTAAAGAATATTTTTAAGGATTTTCAAAAAAACGTGTTTTGAAAAAAGATTGAATCATAAAAAAATATTTTTTAAAGTCATTGAATAGTTTTGGATTTTTAAAGAATATTTTTATGACTTTTAAAAAAAATGAGAATTTTCAAATACTTATTTTGAAAGTAGTATAAAAGGAAATCCATTACTTGTATATGAACTATAAGACTTTATTTAAAATGCTTCGGAATATCCGATTTGGATATGCATTGGATTTTGTTGTATGATTTGTTGCAATTTTAAAGACAACTTCTGATAGAAATCCTGCTCTCTATTTGTAAAAAACTCTAGTAGTCGATTTTGCACAATCACATTAAAGAAATTTTGCAGATGTGTGTGGTTTCTACCGTTGTGTGTGGCCTACCCTTGTCCTGGTGGAACACAACACCTCTCCTGTTGACCAATTCTGGCCGTTTTCTGATGAATTGTAAATGGTTTATTATAGTTTTATGATAGATTTTTAGCTCCTGGTCGATGTTACGACTGCTAACATGACTGCCAATTTCGATAATTTCTTCGATTTTATCGACATTTTCGACAACTGACCTACTGTGCGAGGTGCATCTTTAACGTCAAAAATACCTGAAAGGAATCTACAAAACCAAAATTTCACATAATTGGCTGTTACAGTATCGGAACAATAAACATCATTCAAAATTTTAGCCGCTTGACTTTCATTTTCGCCTTTGTCAAAGAAAACCCGTAAAATGTGCCGAATTTTCTCTTCGTTCACTTCCATTTTTAACTCACTATAACTCACAACTGAATGCACCATACAAAAAACAGCAAAATATTGTTTTTACTGCGAAATGTCACCCTTCCAATGAGCATAATTCTGAAATTGCTTAATCGATACTTTACGAGAAATCTTTTTAAAAATTAGATAGGAAGGTGGATTTCAAAAAAATATTCAAAGGATTAAAAAATGTATCAAACGGCATGGACCCATTATCTGCGAGAAAATAATTTACCATCTAACTTCATTTTATCACAGTGATTATAAAATGAGCTTAGGACCCCCTAAAATTTTAAAAATTGTTTTATTCGCAACGTGTATGTGTACTGTGCTAGAGACATTAAGTGTTAGAACAGAAAATTATCACGGGAGATTTGTGATATATAACGGCATTTATGAAATCAATCAAAATTACGTGTCCCACGTAATTAGCACATCTGGGAATTTTAAACTTAAATGTCGTTGATATTATTTACAAAAAACTACTTCGCGTTAACAAATTCAGTTTGATGAATTGGCAACAATCCGTACTGTAAACCAAAAATTATGAAATTCTTCCTTTCTATAAAATATAAAGATGCAAATGGCCCAGAAATGGTTAGAATAACTAATATTCGATAAATAGTTATAAAAAATCGAAATAAAAACTCGAAGGTTAGAAATTCACTTAAGGGAACCCCCCCATTCACGATTTTAATTTTTCAAGATTTTCAATGGGCTGGTAAATCAATACCAATGCTTGTTAAGGTTTGTAACTTTGCACATATATAATTGAAGATTTAAAAGAGAAGAAAAATAATTTACAAAAAATTTTTGTTATTGTTTTGTTGTTGTTTTTTGTAATTAAAGAAAAGTCCATATTTTTGATGGAGGGCATGATAACTCCCCACTGGAACATCGGAATCCGAAAATTCCAACGGTGTTAGAAAGAGCACATGTCTGTCTCTCGTATGAACTAGGATTATTGACTTCGCTCTAAAATTAACAAAATGGCGGACCTTTGAAAAAATATTTTTTTGGAAAATCGCCGATTTTTTACCAAAAACCAAGTTAAAAAGTAAGGAAGATGTTCACCGATTGGCTTTATCCTAATTCATACGATAGTTGTACACTCACAGAGAAACGTGTAAAAATTTGGAATCGATTGGGTCATTAGTTTTTGAGTTATCGTGCCCGCCATTCACAAAAGAGAAAAACGCGTTTAAAGTTTGAGAAGCCCTTTAGCCGTCACTTGATGCTGACACAATATATCGGCTATATCTTCAAGAGTTCTTGAGATTTTCACTAGAAATTTTGTAGGGACATTCTTGAATGAGTGTAGATTCGAATTATATCAAGAAAATTGTTGACCCCGAGAATGGTGGTCTCCTTAAAGCAAAATCGTAGTCAGTGTAAGTCTAACTGGTTACATACTCCTATATCCATGATCATTTAGTTTCGACTGATATTTTTTCGATAAAATTCTTTGTTGTTCTACTCAAATAATTGATTTGATATATCAAATGTCATTACAAATTGATATTTCTCCACATTTTCCCGACAATAACTTCCCACATTTGGTTATGACGTTTTACGGGTATGATATTCGCCTCCTCATAAGATGGTCCACAAATGCCATGAGAAAGGGTTCATATAGTTGCTTCAATTACGCCATTGTATCTGTAACGGCATCCACTTTAGGTAATTTCTATCACCTTTATAGATATGTTTATTTTTTTATTCATTCACCCCGAACTCTGCCAATTGAGGATCCAAAATGCTAAATATAATATAAACCATAAATAACTGGATATAAGACATTCATCTACATACTTGTATGCGTATAACATTTCTATTGGACTTTTTCACAGAAACCAGTTAATATTTGTTAATAATTATGGATTTAAAAAATATAGATAATATAACCTTTTCTATATCATGAATATAAGATAAAATACAAGATTAAAGCAAATGAGAATTCTATAGCGCAAAACTACATAAATAAATAAATAAACTCTACATTTATTATAGCTACTGCCTTCCGTTGTTAGGTTTTCTCTCAAACGTCTTTTTTTCCCGCCCATTACTGACGTTAAACAAAAATTTCCCAATTTTATTTTTATGGACATGCGCATTTAGCGGCACAGTGGCTAATTTATGTTGGCAATAGTCAATATTACGATTTTCCATCATGTTTGTAAATATTACATAGGAAATTATAAAAATCGGAAAAATACTTCAACTCCGAACAAATATTACCTAAAATATGCCCAATGTATTTTTAAATTCACAGTAATATGAAATTTTAAGATTTTTATATTTTAATGCCTGTGAGTTTCGGT